TTTTAAAGGGCGACTGGGGTTTCTAGGGGATCCAATCACCAAATCCTGGGTGTGCAGAATCATCCTCCACCACCCTTTTAGTTCGGGTGCCACTGTAGAGATATTAGGATTATTTTGAAAGCAGAAGTCATGTAAAATGAACAACGCCTTCTCTGGGAATCGAACCACGGACCTCTGGAACACGCTCCCAGTGTGCAGACCACCACACCAAGAAAGCATGCTAAGAAGGCGGGAGAAATACTATATAATATATGAGTAGCTCGTTTTGGTAAGTTCGAATATACTTATCCTGAATTCATGCGATAGTAGTTCCTTTAAAGTTTTTGTTAAAGCCGGTATCAGTTGTCAAATCAATTAATGGCTAATCTTCGGATTATGGTAACTTGGCGATTTTTTGGCGAAAATTTGGCGACCAACCCTGCTACAGCAACCTGCTAGTTTTTTTTGGGGGGGAAGCCATTTTGTTTTCACCAAGTAAAAGCTTTTCCCCCCCCAACAATCTGCTAGCCGAATTACGCTTATGCTAGAACTTTTATAGAACAAAAGTGCTTAATCATGACGAAGATTAAGTGCGAAATTGGGAGAAAGTGCAGAATTGCACATACGCGGTATCCATGTACACGTCGACCTATTTTCCCTTTAAAAAACATCCCAGAATTGCGCAAAAATGGCAGTGCGCACACTCTTGACTTTATCCACGCACACATCGACCTATTTTCACTTAAAAAGTCAAAGAAACTTGACAAAAATACAGTTCTTCTTACTCTTGTAAAAAGCGCCAAACAAATGAGTGGGCGATTCTGAACTTTAACAGCGAAATTGTTTCTAAGTGCTTATTAGCTAAAATTACGATCGGAATTTTCCGGAAAATGTCACATGACATGTCTCATGATCTCTCATTTCTCTGAGACAAAATAATCTGTGATTCGAACTGTGTAAATCTCAGATTATTGCTAAAGTCCTACCTAGTAACCTTTATCGCCTTACCAAAATGTCGCCAAACTACCTGTTACCATATTCCAAAGATTAGCCCAATTAACTTTCGAAATCAGCTGTGCTCGCATCTGTAGGTTTAGCTGTTCCGGTGGAAAGAATTTGAATCGCAGAATTGTCTTTCTGTAACTGTATCAGGACTACTGTTTCTTCTAACTGCTTTTGCAAACATACTGGAGTCCTGAGTAAAAACAGGGAGTTTACTTCAAACTACGTTCTTGAAAGTGTAGAAGATACGACACAAATGTAAAGGGTTTCATTACCCTTTATTCCTCAGAGTTTAGAGCTGTTCCCTCACTTCGGGATACAAAGACCAGTACTTGTGGTCTGAAACATAATAAGAACTACAAACTAACTAAATTAAATAAGAACTAAACTCAAATGCTTTACAAAGACTAGTAACGCGAAGATTGCCCTTTACGTATGTAGTAAGCAGACTGCGGGAGCTACAATACGTCTTCAAGTATCAAAGAGAACTAAGTTGTGGCCTCAAAGGCAGACAGGAACTGACTGAAATGCGCGCGTGAGGTAAGGTAGCGAAAAGTCTCTCTCTCTCTTCCTTTGCTAAAAGCCATAACTTAAATACTTAACATTTTGCAAGCTCAATTTGCGTAACTAAATATGTTCGCGTTTATTTTGGCCAGAAATAGAAAATAAGAGAGGGCAGTAAAGTTTTTAAATAAAATAAACGTTAGAAAAACTTAAAATCCTTAGAACTATGCAAGGATAATGTTAATTTTATTAACAGTTAAATTTTAAGTTAAAATTTTAAGTTAAGTCCTGTCAAATTCTTAACTTCAACTTACTACTTCCGACCAGAACGTAGTTTTAGAATCACATCTGAATACATAATGAGGAAGAGCTGTATTTAAACAGCGAAGTTACTTACAGAGTCTTAGAGAGAATTAGAGTTTCTGATTTACGCGCATCTGCCTTTTGGCTCTCTCTCTCTCTCAAAAGCTGTTATTACGCTCGGGCGTACTCAGGCCCTTGATAAGCTTCGTAGTCAAATAGAGTTAAGGGGCCAACTCGAATCTAGAATCTTGATTATCTTCGGCTATATTTCTTTAGTTAATCTTAGTTTTAGTAGCCTGTTTATCTTGGCCACCAGGCGTCCCCATCTTCCGTCACCTACCTACCTACCTTAGTTTTAGTATAATTTTTAGTCTCTTAAGTTCAAGCCCAAGTGTCTGGCTTTTATTGTACACCTCCAAGACGGAGTTTTGTTAAATCTTATTGGAATAATAAAGGGTTAGTTACCCTTCCATCTTGTATCTTGTCAGATGAACTTAAGCGATTATTCGCTAACTAGTTCTTAAGATTCGTCACTTTCTACAGTAACTGAGAATTACACTACTGCAAATCTTACAAATGTAAGAAATATCTATATCCTTGATGATCTTGTTTGAGGAAAATTTACATGCAATCAGGGTACTAAATACTTTACAATTTATAAACCAAGGAACTCTGTGAAATTGTGACCAGTAGCAAAGTTTTATGTTGTTTCATTCTCAAATAACAGGCTGTTAAAGTTGTTCAGGGACTTTGCGGACGCCTTCTGGGATCATCAGGATGTTGGGTGAAATGGCTGGCTAGTTTAGGGAGGTTTTAATGGTACGTTTTTCAGACATTTTCATGTACAGTTATGATACTAAATCTTGCAAAATTTATTCGAGGAACAACTTTGGAATTCTAACAAAGAGAGGGTTAAATAATCAAATGAACTAATAATCGATTTCACGAAACAAAAATTTTCCGATGATTTTAATTGCTTTGTAACGATCACAGGGCTTAATATAAATTAACTGTTAATCAAACTGAAACTGTTTTACAAAGCATTTAAAATACTCTTGAGAAATTGGTTCTCGTTTTAACTAAAAATAACAATAGACGTGCAAAACCTTTTTCAATTATGTTGGAATTATGAAATAATCCACAACATATGTTCATTGATCAATGTTTACAAAGATAATCATGAGGACAGATATCATTCCTTGTGATATCACTCCCTTATCATAAGTATGACAGCAACAGATTATTGCCAGCAAATATTTATGACCCAGGATTATATTTGAAGAAATTAAATAATGAAGAATCTCCATGAATGTATGTATATGTTGGGCATTGGGAAAAAACAACGATACCTAGAACCATCGAATTTTGAATAACGCAGTCCTCTACCCGAACGTATGTACCTGGAACTTCGAATTTTGAATTTCGAATTGGTTTTGTTATTTATTTCCGATTTTGTAAGCCTTTGGTGAATTTTTGATTAACAGACTCAACAATCTGAAAGCGAGCAGTGGCAACACTGTACGAAATAAAACATTTTTATCTACATCGCGCGAGACTGTTCTATCCGAAATACTAAAGATATGCTGTTTTTGACTATTTTATGATTTTGCTGTTGAAATGAAATTTTATGTGGGGTAAGTGACAAGAACGGGCTATTTAATAAATAACGTAAACACACAAGCGTTAATAATTCAAAAATAAAGTTTTGTAAAGCCATCTTAACAAGAGAACTGACAATTGATTTGATAAATTATGAAAGACTGAAAAAAAATTTAAATATATGCCAACACTTAATCCTGCGTCGTGAAGTCTAAACATATGCTGCTTTAAAAATTTTTGTAACTTTGCTGTTGAATTACATGTGACGTAAGTGCGAAGAAAATGCTGCTTAATAGTAAAGCTAAAAAGACCAAATAAAAAAGGTGTTAGTAGGAGTAAGTGTAACAGCAGAATGGTAGACTGCGAGCTCAACGAGAGCGTGAAAAACCTTAACAAATCCTTTTGGAGGGTCCTTAAAATCTGAAACCTTTTAGATTTATTTCTTCTTTCTTTCTTTCTTTCTTTTTTTTTTTTTTCTTTATCTTTTGGATTCATTTTCACATACCGTAGCAAAAGTACCGTATCTTACTTGGAAGATGTTATCTGTTAATCGTGCTAATCGTACTCGTTGGAAAAATAAAGAGTATTTCCTTTATCGTGTTATTGAACTGCTGCATTGAAAGGAGCAAGATATGGTGGCACTTAAATATGTAACGGTATATAACGGAAGATTAAACGAAATTTGAGCATTAGATAATTTTTTAGAAACTCCTTTTTAAATATTTTTCATTAAAAATGCATAAATTGATGATCTAGTACTACAATTTTTTTACAATTTTTCTTTTCTTCAGCTCATAGTATTAATTTTTCATTAAGAAAAGGCACAATCAAATGGTAACTTTATATCTTATATCCAAACTCCATTCGCTTCAGGGTTTACCACATATCTTACACATTTTGACGCGTTCAGTGATCTTATAACTATACCTTTACATCAATACATCGATTATATCGATTATTATTACCTATACATCGATTTATAACTATACCTTTTCTAAATCGATTGCGCGAATTGTAAGAAATTTAACGAAATGAGTTTCTTCACATTCCAGAAATATTTTCGCTCATAAGAAACTAGTTCATGTAATTGAAGCAGCTTAATAGTAAGGTAAAGTACAGTTTTAAAAGTATATTACTTAATTAGCATAAAACCCCATTATTCCATAATAACAGCCAGATTAATTATAATTTTTCATATTAAAATGTACAGTTTAAAAGCGTAAATTCTGAAACTTATTTACATGGAAGAGAAATAAAAATAAAATGCCATTGCATTAAAAATAAAGTTCATGGAAATCGATGAAATGTTCATAAAATCGATCGTACGAAATAATCATCATGTCTTAATGAAGCCTTTACACCTCATAACAGCATAAAATAAGATTATTGCTTGTGAGATTATAAATAAAATAATGAAATTAAAAAGAAGTAAATATGCTACTATATTATATTCTTATTTTTAATGGCATGTATCTTTTTGCAATACAATAATAAGATTCGTAATTTTACAAATTTTGAGAACATGATGTCTTTCCTTTTAATGAGGGACCTTTTAAAAGGAATACCATTAACTGCAGGAATTGTAGATAATATGGAAAGAAGCTCATACTTACAGATGTAAAATATCTCAACATCTCATGTTATTTAAAATTCTTCAAAGTAAGTGATTTACAGAAGACACATACTCATGGCAAAACAATACGCATTTTAAGAGGTACACTGACGCTTCAGGTACTTCTTTGGTATCTTATCTGATAACTGCCACTGTTCAAAACGCAGCCCTCCCCTTATGTATTTTATTATCGCCTTTTTTTTCTTTTGGAGTGAAGATTCGCTTACCTAGGTGTTCAACGGCATTTAAATCGAACATAATCATGCCATAGTTTACAAAAAATATCGAAGAATTTCGAATTATCGAAGAAGAAGAAAGAATTATAGTTACTTTATGCATTTTATTATCACCTTTTTTTTCTTTTGGAGTGAAGATTCTCTTATCTAGGTGTTCAACGGCATTTAAATCGAACATAATCATGCTATAGTTTACAAGAAATATCGAAGATAACCATGCTATAGTTATGCCATTAGACCAAATAATGATATTACTAACATTATTGATTTCATTATATTATTTAATGAGGAAAACCCTTTTTAATATACTGTAGCCAAATCTAAAACATTAAATGGCCAATCAAGGTGGGGGGTGGATTTTCTTCAATATCCTTCCGTTGGCAAATTTGTTCTTTTGCTTCATATTTATTCAAGCCGATAAATATTTTTGTTATATCTATTCTTCAAGCGTTTCTTTTAACATTCTTGAATCGTGAAATGCTACGGAGGAATTACAATCTAATTTTCATAATCAGATTCTAGATTAACGCTTGAAATGGTGACAGGAGGGAGGGGGAAGAAGTATCTTACTACGATATTATTCCATGTACAAAATTTCAGCCGGAGACTTTTGCATTTTTCCAAGAACTTTTCCTTTTGAATAAATGTGACTTTCCCTTTATTAAATAAGTGCAAAAGTTTCCATATGTTAAAGATGCATTTACTCACATAAACGTAAGCGTACGAGGCTTACAATAATATTTTTGAAATGAGAACTGGAAATGATTTCTGCTTTGCCAGGACATGAAATTCACGGAAAACAATCACATCTCATTTCAGGAGTTAAAAAAAAATTATACCTAGAGAGTACTTATTATATATGGCATTAGAAATGCATTCAGCTCTATTAGCCGGGCTGGTTACAGCGACGAAGTTCATTGTTTAATCATCGGGTAGTTTAACAAGCACATAAAAGAATTATAATTACTAAAACAATACTGTTGACAATTTATCTGTATATTCAAGCATTTTAATCTGGTGTATCTTTTGATAATGTAAATTAAATATCTATTTCAAATATAATATCTGATGTAGATACCACATGACTTCCTTGTACGGCCTATTAAATAATGCACAAATTTTGCTGCATTTCATTTAAACTTATTCCCTCGAATTTCATCAGATATATATTTTTATTCAATTAATTCAGTTCTTACTTCGTGGCAAGGCAAAAAAAATAATAAAATATAATAAAAAGTAATAATAATAATAATAATAATAATAATAATAATAATAATAATAATAAAAAAAAAAAAAAAATAAAATAAAAACTCAAAATATGTTCAGTAAAAATTGTAAAATACAAAAAAAAAGTAAAACACCAAATACAGTTAAAATCAGTTAGAACATTTTTTTACAATTAAAATTAAGAGTTTCTATGCAAAAACAAGTAATTCGACCAGAGGGCAGGAATGCAAAATATTCGGTGCACAAAACTGAAACTTAAATTTTGGTCCCACTGGCCAAAAACATACTGAAGTTGGTACACCAACTGACTTGATTCACTATTTTAGTTCCAAATGTAAACAAATGTCGGCCTCATTAAGCTTAGAGCCACTTTATATAGTTTTTGATAATTCTACAGCTGTTGTAAACAGATTAACTAAAGACATACAATTCTTAACCAGAACATGAGAGTAATATAATAAAATCACTTCTAAAGCAAAAAATGCACAATTTGCCAACATATAGGATTAAAAAAACTCTTATGTCGCGAATTTCAATTATTAATATGTGTTTCAAGTCATTATTCTAATATTTTTATTCGTATTCATGTGTATTTTAATCGAGGAAAAAAAAGTATTCTTAAGCTCTTAAGGTTTATTTAACTATTTATTCTTGAGTAGGAATTGTAACTAAGGCGGGAAACGGTTGCGGGAGCCATCTGCTTTATGGCCTTTACCAACAATGGAGGCAGTAGACGGTGTGTATTGTCGCCTTTTAGCTAATGCGTGTGAAACGGAAATCGTTCTTCCTGTCGCTTTGTTAAAGTTTGCAGTTTTCTTACTTCAAGACAGTGGGAGGTGTACTAACTTAGATAATTGGATTCTCGTAAAAGCTAGTTTCGCTTGTTAGTTGGGGGGTCTATTTTTTTTCTCACGTTGTGAGTACATATGTGTTTCGGATTGCATTGTCAGATTTTCTGGTGTTTCATTCGTCATGGGTGTGTCATTTTCTCAATTTAGATAACATAAAATTCCGGGATTGGTAAGATTTAATTTTATGATTTTTTTGAAAGCCTATGAACTCACAGAGGCGGAGAAACCGAGTTTTCCTAGGTGCTTGCACCAGGCTAGAGATTATTCTGTTTCCTGATTCTTTCAAGCTAAGAGTAAGAAGAAAACGAGTGGCGGGGGCTTGACCCCTTGTGGGTCTTGCTCTCGCGAATGCCGTGTACCAGCGGACTGCGGACTTGAATTTCTGTCGGCTTTCAGCTGATGAGAATTTTGTTCGAGTTGAGACTAAGTGCTTATGCAAAATATAGCTTTGCTGCTTCTTCGTTATATTTTACCAAGAACTTTAATTTGACATTCTCGAGGTTACCTTAATACAGGTGTTCGTCCCGGATCTCCCTACCTTTTTCTAATACCAGTATTTTTTCCTGGGGGTCTTGAATTTATTGAAGTGCTCCTGATTTAAAGGAAACGACCTGATATCTGTGTTTTCCTTGAGTCTTGATTTGTTGAAGCGTTAGCGTTCCTGATAAAGACTGCTCCCTAATTTAAAAGAAGCATCCTGATTCCTGTGTCTTCCTTGGGTCTTGATTTGTTGAAGGCGTTAGCGTTCCTGATTTAAAAGCAGTTGGACTAGCTGTTGAACTATCTAAAACTCCGTATTAATCTGTCGATGATGGCATTCTCGATCTCTTCGAATGGTCAACGAAATGAGTAGGACGATCTGTTGAACTATCAGCACTCCATATTAATCAGTCGATGATGGCATAGGAGTTTAATGTATGAACTTCCCCCCGTGAGTGAATTTTTTTTCTGCCTTTTGTATTTAAATTGTAACCGAGTAATGATACTATATTAATATACGTGTGGTACAACAGCCTAAATTGTGAGTTATGTAATGTAAAAAAAATTAGTACACCTAACATGAGTATAAGATTGAAAATGATATATATGTTAATTTACCTCTTAAGGTTAATTTGTAGGGGACTGAGCAGTTTACCTAGTTATCATATGTTTGAATATTCTAGAAATTAATAAATGTGTTTGATATGTATTTTATGTTTCATTTGTTTAATTTAGTGTAGTTTCTGTGGTCTGTCATGTCCCTCCATTTGTTTTGAGCCGGGAGGCTTTTAAGAAACATGGAGTAATTAATTGAATTTGGGGGTTATTGATTTTCCTTTGGCATAGGTTACTCACAACGCAAACCTAAAAGGTTAAATTGTACTACCACTATACGATTGATTGATTGATTGACAGATATGATATACGATTGTTTATTTGATTCATCTTTTGATAGATTATGAATAGAATGTTTTGAATTTTTGAATTATTTAATACTTGATTTTTTTTTTTTTTTTTTTTTTTTGGTTAATTTTGTCCGGCACCTTGCAGCAAAGTTGTCAGTTAAGTTTTAAGCTTAAAGGAATAAGGTATTAAACAACAACATATTTTTTTTTCTATATAACATTGGTGCCGTGACCTTCGCGACTGGCAGACCACTAGAATATTTTTTGTGTATATTATTTGAGTATTATTTTATATTTGATTTCTATTTTTATTTTATGTGTATGAATATTACATTTTTGGTTATAAAATTATGAAATTTTTTGCGCTCACCTAGATGTTTGATCCATTTATCCATTTAGTTTAAAGTTTTGGTGAGAATGGCATTTATGTTAACGAGTTGATTTTTGCTAATGCTTTTTGAGTAATTATTTTGTAGATTTCTAATTTTAATTAATTGAATTAATGTCAGAGCAGTATTTTTGTGTTCAAGAAATAGTAATATTTTTTTTAACTTCTTGAAGTGTGTTAATAGATTTTATGGAATTTGTGCCTAATAGAATTCAGTTAAAATTTTCATTTTTGAATTTATTTTTGGAAAAATCTGAAATGTTTGTTTCTTAAAGTTAATTTGGTTAGATTTGTAAAGTTGCGCGGGACCAGTGATAGTTTATTTAGGGATTGATTAAATTTTTTTTTGGAAGTTAGTTTTCAGCGGGAGTGAAGTTTCTTGTTTAGCTTTCTGAGTTTGAGTAATTAATTTTCTACCTAGTTTTGAGTTTTGTGAACATTTATTGCTGTCTGAGAAATGTCTGAAAACAGTAGAATAGTGAGTTTTGTGTTCTACAGCAATTTTGAGTTGTGAATTTTGAAAAAACAAAAATTTTTTTTTGGAAAGGTAGAGCTGGTTTTGTTTGAAATTTTGGAAATGTAGTTAAAAGATATTATTTTTGCTCTTTACTCTTACTGTTGTCTTTTTTTTTTTTTTTCAAGTGTTTTAATGGTAGATTCTAGTGAGTTTCCTAGTGAGTGGTGTGACATTTGTTTTAACAGTGATTTTTTTTTTTTTTTTTTTTTGGTTTTTCAATTTTTGAGCTCAATAGCTTATTGTTTTGATTTTGAATTTTAAAAAAAATTTTTTGGTTGAACTTGTTGCAGTGTTGCAGTAACTTTAAAAGTGGATGTGAAATGTGTTTTGGAATTTAAGACTTTGATACTAAGTGGAAGTGAAAATTTGTTTTAAGAAGTTAAACTTGATTTGATGGAATGAGAAATTACTTATGTGAGTTTAGTGTTGTGGAGATTTTGAGA